GTCTTTGAGGAAAAAAAAAAATCAGTGTTTTTCTTCCCTTTTCCAAGCAGAAACTTAATCACAGATTAACCTTTGAGATAGGATGGGGGCACATCTGAATTCAACAAGACTTTCCCCAGGATGCCAAACAACAGGCCTTTGTTCAGTCTGGAGGCAAAGGGGATGCCAGACAAGCCAGCAAGACTGGTTCTATGGGGACCTCCCCACTCCTGTAACTGGATCATCAGTGTTTCCTGAGTGGAATCCAGAGGCCCCAAGGGTGGGGATCACACAGCAGCACATGCCAGCTTTTCCTTATTCTGGTAGCTTGTATTATCACATCGGCTCCTGGAGAGTAAAAAAGGCAGCAAGCCAGAACCATCGAGTAGCCTGGGCCTGCCGACCCCGCTGTGGGTGAGCCGTGCCCGTAGGGATTTCAGTGGAAGTCGAGCGCCAAGAGAGGCTGAGGCCAGAGAAGAAGAAGAAGGTTTCATATAGAAATTGTTTGACAGTGGAAGTGCAAGCAGGGAAAAGATATAAACGATTCATCCGAACGATAGATTCTTTTTTCTGCGTAGGTCTGGCGGTGCTATTGGCTAAGTGTTGAGCTGCCGTTCAGACCCACCAGCCTTGGCTCTGTTTTCAGCCTTTCAACCATAGGGTTCCCTTGGAGTCTGAATCGATTGGGTGGCAGTGAATGGGGTTCATTGTTGCTGATGGCACACTGGGGTAAGTGTTGTGCTATTCACAAGGTCAGCAGTTCAGGCTCACCAGCCAACCCATTGGAAGATGAAGCTGTCTGTTCTCTTAAAGACTGACAGCTTCAAGAGTTGTAGGGAGCAGATCTACTCTGTCCCATCGGGCCACTCTGCATCAGAATAGATTTGATGATGTGGGATGCTTTCATTGTTGCAGGCAGTAATAATGCGAATGATTTTAATCTTGTAAACGGCATCCACCCTGAATAATCAGCTCAGAGAAAGCTTGTGTGTTACAGTGACAAATGCAAGGTGTGAGGAGGCCCCGGGGGCAAGCAGGCACTTTTAGCACAGGGTCTCCTGCGAGACCTCGGACTGTCATCATTTCCAAAGGTGCTCCTCACAAGGACATGTAAAGGTGCTCCTCACAAGGACATGTTCTGTCCGCCTGCCCCGCTTCTCCTGGCTGTCGGCATCGTCAACTTGGATGACGGGGGAAAGGCCAGAATCAAGTGTGTTTTACACACACTTTGCTAAAGCCCCTGTGAAGCTTGTGTGGGTTCAGATCTATATAAAATGGAATGCAGGACTCAGAGAAATGCGCTCTCCCCTCCGCTCCCCACAAGCGCAGTCCACCTCAGTGCATACACTCTTCCAGCTTGAAACGTCAGTGCCTGCAAGGGTAAATAATATGCGAACAAGCGTACTAATGAGTATACTGATAAGAGTATGAGAAACAGTGATAACTCTGTACATACAAATCCAGAAAATGTATTGGGTTGTTTTTTTGTTTTTAAAATTATTCTTAGGTTTTCATGCACTGTATTTTGGAAATACCTTATTATAAGAATACTTTGGGGCTGTAAGGTTTGACTAACTTCTTTTCGAACACTCTCCGATTATTTTCCCTTTATGTTTAACAATACGCCTATGTGCCTATATTTCTTCTGTTTTGGGTTGGTTTTTTTTGGGGGGGTCTGGACCTTTTTTCCCCTTTTCTTACCTTCCCGGGTCTGCATTTTAAAATAACTGTGACCAGCCTTTCAAGAATTTTACATCATCATTCTATACCTGGAGAAAGAAGAAACTCAAGTGTCCCCAAAGTGGCAATTCGATAAATTGGGGGAATGCAATTGACAAATATCTTATCCAAAGATAGTATTTCCTTGGTTCTGTGGATTTTGTAAGAGTCCCAGGTGTATCTGAGTTACACCTGAAATTTTCCACAGTGGTGGGTGGGGCCACATGCTGACCGATTCCTGAGAGAAGTACAAAGGGTCGTGTGTCACCGTCCTTGTTTGCTCTCTGGGTCACACCTCAGGTGATGTGAAGGCATAGGTAAATAGTAAATGAGCTGGTTTCCTACATGGAAGAGGCACCAAGTAACCACTTACTTCCCTTCGTAGCCTGGTGGATTTTTAATGAAATGGCTTACTGTCCTCTGAAGGTCCCTTTAATAAATGAGCACTGATTTCTCCTGCGTGGATAAAGGGATCAAGACCCATAAGCTAATTCTTCCTTTCTTTATCACACTCTCTCAAGGATGAAGAAGACTCTTTTGTGATGAAAGCCATCATTCATGCCATCAATGATGACAATGTTCCAGGCTTGCAACACCTTCTGGGCTCTTTGTCCAACTACGATGTTAACCAACCCAACAAGGTCAGACTTTGCCCTTCCAGGGTGGGTGGGAGGTGAATCACAGTGACTGACCACCTTCAAGTCCAAGGTGGGCAGACTCCATCTGCTTCGCTATTGTCCCTTCCAATTGGAAACTTCGTGCTGTGAGAGATTTTAGTTACAAATGAGGGCAATCTTCTTTCAGGGTCTTTCTTCATACAAGGCCTTTCTACATACCTGTGTTACACCCTGTCTTAACTATCTGATGCTTATGTAACTAAATACCACCGTGGGTGCCTTTAAAGAACAGAAATGTATTTTCTCACAGTTCAGGAGGCTGGAAGTCTGAATTAAACTGTAGTTCTAGGATGAGATCCTTTCTTATTTATTCAGTTTCTAGGACATGCTGACAGTGTCCTGGATTGTAGATGCCATGCCATGTGACTGTCTTCAAGTGGTGTTTTCCCCCTGTGTGTGCATTCGGTACTTTTTAGAACTCATACCTGAGGAGCTTTAGGACCCACTTACTCTGGTATGCCCTCAGTATAACAAAAGAAAACCACTGTTTCCAAATTGGGTCATATTTATAGATGTCCCAGTTATGCGTGTAATATATGGGGGGGGGGGCACAATCCATAACACACCTCTTCAAAAATCCATGTAACCTAAAGCATCCTGCAAGTGGAAATGTCCCCTTTGATAATGAACCTGAAAGAGGAAGGGCCATGGTGCCCTTCTGATGGTTTCCGTTCCTGTAATGCAGCCTTTGGTGACATGGAAAGTGCGTGGGGACAGCCACGATGCTCTGGACTTTCCTCATCCTGCCACGTTGTCAAATTATTATTATTATTATTTCTTCTCCTAGCATGGGACACCTCCATTACTTATTGCTGCTGGCTGTGGGAATATTCAAATACTGCAGTTGCTCATTAAAAGAGGCTCAAGAATCAATGTCCAAGATAAGGTAGTAATTCTGTTTTGTTGCAAATAAGTTATGCTTCTAAGTATTTCCAAATGTCTCTTAATTCTAAGGGTAATGACGTGGGGTGGGGGTGGGGATGGACCAACAAACAATCAGCCATAACAAAGCAGACAGCAGTATCTACTAATTCATTTCGATTTCCTCTTAAGGAAGATGAAGTGATTAAAAGGCCTGGTACAGAATAACATATTGCTAGAAAGAAGAAAGCTAACAATGTGCCTTCCTTTGGGCCCCATTGCTGGATGTCAGCATTTCTTTGTACAAGATGTCAGATTGTATTTCTTAATGATCACATTCACTCAAAAGGGGTGATAGGTCACACTTGGAAACATTTTCACTACCTAATCTCATCTGAAGTGTATTTGCCTATATGCTCATTAGATCAACAGCAGAAAGCTTCATTCTGAAACGCAGACATCACTGTTATCAGCACAGCAGTTGGTAGTCATTCAGTTGCCCTGTTATCCACCTCCACAGACTTTCAGTGGAGCTTCACAATGTAGGGAGTTCTCTAACCAGAGGTTGAAATGAGAGTTTTTATTGATTGGCTGATTTTGTTGTTGTTGCTGTTTTTAAAGTAATTTATAATGTTGAAATAATCTTAGATTTCTAAAAAATAAGTTGCTGAGAATTCCCATAAACTTTTCCCCAAATGTTAGCATTTTCCATGACCATGATCCAAACTAGCCCTCCTGAATGGAAGGCGCTTGTGTGGGTTTTGCCATCACTAAGAAAGGGAATCCTCGTGAGGCTGGGCCCTCACAGGCATGCATGCCCATCCACCCCTGTGAAAGGTGACTCTGTGTCTGGTTTTTGTCTAGGGGGGATCTAATGCCATCTATTGGGCCTCTCGGCATGGTCATGTAGATACCTTGAAGTTTCTCATTGAGAACAAATGCCCTCTGGATGTCAAGGACAAGGTGAGGTTCTTTCTTTTCTTGAGAGGGACAACAGGCAGTAGCAAGAAGATGTGCTTAGGAGTTGGCATGGGGACCCAAGGAAGCATTCAAGGCCAAAATCTTCTTGCAGAGAATTTAAGTTGGACATTGCTTTTTGCTGGGGCTTGCTCTAGTATTAAAGTCTGCTCTTAGCTGAAATCTGCCAGACAATTGCTATGATAGACAAGCAGTAAAGGACCTTGCACCTATGTGAAGGTATGTGAGAAAGTATGTAAGAAAGACTGAGAAAGGCCATCACCAGGAGGGAGCATTCCTCATCAGATTGATCACACGTGTGGGTGGGAACAGAGACCCTGAAGCATAGTCAGCCAGGGAAGCATGGGCTTACTTGTGCGTACTCACTGATCTGTAGTGGGCAGTTTTACAGGCTCTGATGGAAGCCATGAGAAACTGCGTACTACTGACGAGTATGCTGCCCTTGCTTTTGAATACTCAGACGCTGCTTGAGGGGTTTGGTTGTTACAGACACCATGAGAAAGGCGTGTGGATGAAACCCCACGCCTGGGGTGCCGGCCCTCCGTAGGGCTGGTGCAACCAAAGGAAAAGATATGGAACCTGGCGGGTTTGTGAGTGGGCTCCCAGCCCATCTCCACAGTCTCCTCCAAGGGACGGCCCTGAGATGTCAGCTCTGTTTCCTTTGCAGGCTGGAGAGACGGCCCTTCACGTGGCAGCACGCTATGGCCATGCTGACGTGGTTCAGCTCCTGTGCGGTTTTGGCTCCAATCCCAATTTCCAGGACAAGGTGGGCCATGGTCGCTGGCATCCTCACTTCCTCAAGTTTTCTACATGGATGGATAGAAAGCCAAATGATGTAGTCAGTTCCATCAATTAGGGGTTTAGCCATGTCAGGTGATGAAGGGCAGGGACCCAAAGAGAAGCACGGTGTCCTTTGGATTAAAGGCTGATGCCAGGAGCAGTTCTGACCACTTAGCATGCACCATTCACTGAATCCCTGGACAGCCCTGGGAGGGGAGTGGGGGTTGCCGTTACTATCCTTCTGCTTCTAGATGAGGAATCTGAGGCCCAGAAAAGTTAACTAACATACCCAGATCTGCACAGCTTATAAATGCTGGGCTGGGCCTCAAACCCACGCGCTGTGGACCCAGATCCTCTGCTTTCGACCAGCACTTGGCCACATGGTAGCCTCTCAGAGACGGGCACGTGTCTAATGAGAGAGCTTGAAAATACAGTTCTCGCAGACTTCATTGGAGACGGATGAGGCTTTTCCAGTCTCGGGAACCCACAGGGCAGTTCTTCCTGTCCCATGGGGTCACTATGAGTCAGCATCGACTTGATGGCGCCGCCGATCTAGGCTTGCTGAGACGGTAAATCTTCATGGGTCGGATAGCCTCATTTTCTCCCATAGAGAGGCTGGTGGGTTTCAACCCTCGTCCTTGTGGTCAGCAGCCACTCACAATGCTTAAATCAGCCCAGCACCACTGGGGCTCCATTGATTGGCTAGAGCATGGCTGTTTCTCAATTTCTTCCTAGCCAAAATGAGAATACCTCCATGTGACTTCTTTATATGCAGACAGTTAGAATTCTTATCCAGAGACATACCTTGCTGCTCTTCGTAGATACAAGGCAGTTTGAGAAGAGTGATGCTGTAAATGTGCCCACTTTGTGGCTCTGTTGTTCATACTCACTGGCCCACCAGCCCTACCAGGTTCCTGAGAGTCATCTGCCAAGGGTATGCGTGCTGAGACAGCTGAGTTCCTGAGACAGATATCGAGTGCCGAGCAAAATAAACTTGTGAAAGAGATGCATCACATCTGCCCCTAGTTACAGCCCCTCGGGCCCATGTTCATTGCTTCAGATTCATACTTGGCTCCAGCACCTAAGGAGCCCCTGGCGCTGAGGCCTGGCGCTCGCTTTGCTGTGGTTTCCAGTCTTGCCTTCCTCCTCCTCTGAGCTCAAGTCTCCCTGCAGGAAGAAGAGACCCCGCTGCACTGTGCCGCCTGGCACGGCTATCACTCTGTGGCTAAGGCCCTGTGTGAAGCTGGCTGCAACGTGAACATTAAGAACCGGGAAGGCGAGACCCCCCTCCTTACGGCTTCAGCCCGAGGCTACCACGACATCGTAGAGTGTCTAGCTGAATACGGCGCTGACCTGGATGCCTGCGACAAGGTGCCTTATGGGTGAACGCACATGCCATGCACCAGAAGTGACCTGGGGGCCGGGGAAGGGAGGAGACGGAGGGACCATGAGACTCCTCAATTAGCCCTAAAATAGCACACTTGAGCACAGCAATTTGTACTTCTTTCTCTGCTTGGTTCTAAAGTGCCTCCCTGTGAACTTCCCTAGATTCAGGGTAATCTTTCATGTGCATTTGTGGTATGTGACAAAAGGTATGAATTGG